TTGTAAATAAGCAATCTGTATGTAAAAAAACCACCTGTATGTAAATTGTAAATAAACCATCTGTATGTCAAATATGTCTTATATGTCTTAAATGACATGATGAATTGGAAATGGGGGACCCTGATGTAAACAAGACGAAAGTCTTTCTCTGGTCTGCATCCCCTTAACAATTGTATGTTTTGAGCTGTACTGTACTGTACCCAATATACAAGCTGTTAATAAACTTTTCAATCAATCAATCAATGAGTGACGGCAAATGCTGCGGCTGCAATGCATTGTGGGGCAGCATTTTCTCCTCTCCTTTCGGCAAGGGAGGTCCAGTGGTTCCTAAGCTAAATGAGGTTATAAAGGAAGTTTGAAACCTCCTTTCCTTTCATTTGGAGAATTGGAACGGCACTTATCATGGCTGCCACTGACGGACTTCCGGGTCATTTCACTCCGTTAGGAAGGTTCCTAAGCTAAATGGACTATTGGAACGCAACCCTTGTGTCATTCAAGCTGAGAGGGGTCTGCCTGCAGACCTCCACTCTCAGGACAGTTCCGGTGCAGACCTCCACTCTCAGGACACCTCCACTCTCAGGACAGGAAGTGCACGCTAAGAATTCCAAAATAAAATCACCACTATCAGTACAGTGCCACTTTCCAAACAGGAAATGCACGCAAATACAAAATAAAATCGGATCTTGACACTTATTACACAGGCCGTGGGGGGACACCCGAGACCGGGCAATGTCCCCGGTAGAAACCGGGTGAAGGGCGGAAGGAAAGTTGTTGAAAGAAATCTGCAGCGATGCAGGCCTAATCGATGTCTGTCGCTCTCTGAATCCCGCTGGAATGGATTTCACGAGATATGACAAAACAACTAAAACCTGTATAGACAGGATTTATGTATCGAAACACTTCTCTGTAACCAACTATAAAACAATCTTTAATAACTTTTCGGATCATCTTTTGGTCCAAACGTCATTATCCTCCGGAGCCCCTTCCACTAGAGCAGTGGTTCTCAAACTTTTTCTGTCAGGCCCCCCCTTTGGAGAAAAAAAAAAGTCGGGCCCCCCCAACACAAATAGTCAGGCTCAGTAGCTCAGGTAGCTTGACGTTTCATAGAGGGTGCTCAAACATTTAGGGTTTCCCATTAATGTACCGGTCGCTACAGTGGAATTTTCTACTGCAACATTCCCCACGCATATACACAGTGTACCCGCGACTGTTACAATGAAGGCTCGATAATCAGCTTAGCAGGGATAAAGTGCTATTTTTATAGGTGGTGTGTGGACCTCACATAGGGGGGTCCGGGGGCAAGCTCCCCCGGGAAGATTTCATTTTTAAATATTGAAGTTAAATGCATCAATCTGGTGCACTTTGAGAGCAAAATGAAGAGATCTATGGATACATCTCTCAACACGTAATAATACTGTACTGCATCATATTATTTTCGAATCAATAATTTTTAAAATTATGATTTTTTTTTTTTTTTAATCTTTTTTTTTTTTAACCATTTTTCCTCCTGGTCTCTCGCGCCCCCCCTGGCATGCCTATGCGCCGCCCTGGGGGGGCGCGCCCCCCACTTTGAGAACCACTGCACTAGAGGCTTCTAGAAACTGAACACACAGTGCCTAAAAAATACTTGTGTCTCAACAGAACTAAAACTGGAAATACAAAAAATAATACAATTGAGATGTTTAACAAACTCTGACATCAAATTATGGGAAACATTAAAAATGAGGTTAAAACGTTTTTTCAAATTTAAATGTAGAGAATTAAATAAAGCAAAACATATTAAATATGAATCATTAATCAAACAATATATTAATTTAAAGCAGATTAAAGTTCAAACTAAAACGGTAGAAGAAAATATATCTAAATTAAAAACTGAAATTGATCAATTAAACCGGGAATCATTATATAATATTCATACAACATCTGAAATAGATCAGAGAGGCAACTTGGCTCAAGCCATTAAAACCAACCAAAAGCAAATTCAAAGTAAATTCATCAAATGTATAAAAAATCAAGAAGGTTGTATTGTGTATAATGAAAAACAGAAACGAGAAGTGATAAGAGATTTATGTTCTGAAGCATATAAAAAAATAGACATTGAAACGGACTGTGTTAAAACTCTGTTGGGAACAATCCCTCCGTACAACATCCAAGAATTTGACTTCCTTCTCGGTGAGATTAGAAAAGATGAGGTGATCAAGGCGGTGAAAGAGTTGAATGTCGGTAAGAGCCCCGGTCCTGATGGCCTGCCCACTGAGAGCCCCGGTCCTGATGGCCTGCCCACTGAGAGCCCCGGTCCTGATGGCCTGCCCACTGAGAGCCCCGGTCCTGATGGCCTGCCCACTGAGAGCCCCGGTCCTGATGGCCTGCCCACTGAGAGCCCCGGTCCTGATGGCCTGCCCACTGAGTTTTATCAACTATTATCTGATGATGTTTTAAACTTACTGACCTCTATGTTTAATGAAGGTCTCAGCAGTGGTTGTATGGGGGACTCATTTTATGAAGGTGTCTTGACTCTACTATATAAAAAAAACGATGAAACTGATATAGATAATTACAGACATTTAACTATAGTGAATACTGATTATAAGATACTAGCAAAAATAATAATGAATAGATTAACAGATATATTAGATAAAATAATAGATAAGGAGCAAACATGTGCTATAAAAGGTGCCTTATGTGGGACAACTTATCAATTTTAAGAGAAATCATAAATAAGCCAAAAGTAGAAAAAGTTTTTTTTATTATTGGACTTGATAAAAAAAAAGCCTTCGACTATTTATCCAGGGATTATTTATGGTCGGTGATGAAGGCCTACGGATTTCCTGAAGCCTTCATAAACATGATTAAGTGTCTGTATTTTAAATCTTGTGTCTGTGTAAATGTAAACGGTGTGTTAACAAATGCATTCAATGTTGAGAGAGGGGTTAAGCAGGGGTGCCTTCTAAGCGCAGCTCTGTACGTGCTAGCCATAAGTCCATTCATTCAAATAATAAACAATGACAGGTTCATATCAGGAACACCAGTTGGCCATGCGCCCAAAATAACTGCCATCGCCTATGCAGACGATGTCACTGTTATAATAAAAAAACAACAGGAAATGGATGTTCTAACAAACCACCTAAACCTATATGAATTGGCATCAGGAGCTAAAATAAACCACAACAAAACTGAAGGTGTTTGGATCGGCACCGACGATGCCAAATGTGACATTAACATTCAAGTGAAAAAAGAAATAAAAATACTTGGATTAACTATTTGTAGCGACAACTGTGCTGAACTCAATTGGGAGAACAAACTAAGTGAAGTCAAAGAACAAGTTAAACACTGGGAGAATAAAAATACAAATTATAAATCAAGAATAAACATTATAAAATCATTCATACTCAGCAAGATCCTTTTTCTAGCAAACATCTTCCCCCCACCAGCCCAAATAATTATGCAATTAAACAAACAGTGTGTCAATTTGGTGTGGGGTACAACAAGGGAGGTTGCTAAATGTAATTTGTTATTTAAGAGTAGGGAATATGGAGGCCTGGGAGCCATAGACCTGGGCATTAAACTAAACATTACCTTTGTAAAAAACATCTCCGCTGCAATCAATAGGAAAGCACCTTGGGTTGAGGATGGAGAAATGGGATGGAAGAAAAGAAGAGGCAGAGCTAGAAATGGTCCATATTACAAATTACTTTATGGTGACTTCACAACTGAAGTTCAGCATTTAGGGATTGATTGGATCGGACTACCGAATAGAGTAATTTTTAAAATGATTAACGATTTCAAATATGGAGGTGTTATAGCATACAAAAACCTAACACCTGACGAAGGTAACGAAGTCTTAAAATTAGTCAAAAGTAAACAGTTATCGGAGAGCATGAGAGACGTGAGGTGGCTGATATCAGTCAACAGACCTGCGGTCAGAGCTGTGGTCTCATGGAGCTGCTATGTGAAAACTAGAACATGCCCCATGATTAACTGTGAGGAGGACGAGACTTTACAGCACTTCCTCATGGACTGCTACAGAGCCCAGGAGGTGTGGTCGCTCCTATGGGGCATCGGGTTGGACTTCAATGTAGAATATGTCTCAATCATGTATTGTATTCTGGATGAGGGGATGGACAATAAACACAGGGACCTTTTTCAGCTGGTAATTTGTATCACATGTATGAAAATCTGGAAAACAAGGTGCAAAATGGTACTAAATCAGACGATCATAAACAGTGGCACCATCGTGAAACAAATACTTACTGAACTAAGGAGAAGAAAAACCCTGGACAAATCCCAGACTCAGCCATGGGGCGTTTTGAGTCTGTGACCGAGCTGAGTCTCATTGGAATATAAACATGCTCTCTTTGTTATTTATATATTTATTCATTGTGTTTTATGTGTATTATTAATGTAACTTGTGTATATCATGTACTGCCCAAATAATATAAAATAAAGTTTTCTAAAAAAAAAGAAGAAAAAAAAGAGAGGAGAGTGGTACTGTTTATCTGTACGTAGCGGGTTGCCAGTTTTGTGGTTTATCCTCCATGTGAAGTGGGTAATAGTGGAAGAAAAATCCCCGAGTACATTTATAATGACACGTAAAAGTTATGTGTTCAAAATATACTTAGGAAAAAGTGAATCAGTTTATGCGTAACATTTAATCAACGTAAAGGTAGTTCAGCAGATAAATGGCAAGTATGAGTGCCATGACGTAATCAATTAGATATCTACTGAAAAGGTTAACTATGCATAGTTCTTTTTCATACTTTAACTACAATTTGCCGATCCGAACTTTCACTTAAGTCACATTTTCAATGCAATATTTTCACTTGTAATGGAATATGTTTGCATTGTGGTATTGTTACGTTTATATTAGTACATCATTTACAATTATTCTTCCCACACTAATATTATTTTGCATATTCCTCTCAATAGATGTAACCAGGTGTTTGGCAAACTGTCCCAAAGTGCACGTGTTTCCCCTGCCTCGCTAACTGCAAACGCGTTTTTTACAGACCTGGCATCCCCTGTACCGGTCAAACTAAACGACACACACTCAAAATCAATGGCGGACGAAGTTGAGCAGGTTGGTGCAGCCTCGTCGATTAATGCTGTTTTTCTCTCACACAGCGTGTATATAATTATCCAAAAAGAACGCTGTAATATGTGTTTACTTTGTTTCTTCTTTCAGGGGGGTTATTGTGTCACTTCGTTTGTTCCCCTCCTCTAACAGCGCGGAGAGGCCTGTCAAACAAGCTAGCTAAATTAGCCCTGTTAGCACATCACGTTTATTCTAACTTAAAAAATGACAACGTGTTTCACTGTTGGTGCTGTTTAGTTTGAACATCAGAGCTAAAATTGATAATTACATCATAGGACAAGGCTATTCGTTTTTCTTGTGTGTTCCTTGTGTTGGAGAACAGCAGAATACTAGTGTAGCGTTACACCCAAAGCATACACTAGTTTAAACATTTTTCAAAAACATCTTAGAAATGTAAGGGCTGGGCTTTTAACCGGACACACATGTAACTAAATGGTTTAGCATATGGTGGGGTTTTCAGCCAATATACAATTACTTTTGTTAACTTTTCTCCACAGCTACATCTCGTTTCAATATGTCTTCCAAGTGTTACGTTTATATTAGTTAGGTCTGATATACCTCCCCTTGATTTTGGATGCATAGTGTTTCATAGTAAAGTCACTGAAATTCATAGATTTCTTTACTTTGTTTTGTATAATTTTGATGTTCAACCTTAACTTGTGCATGTTGCTTTTTGTGAATGTTTATAGTAAGAAACTGTAACACAAACTTTTCTCAGTCATCATCACATATCTTCTGTAGCCTCTCCACTAACAGTTTCTGCACTTTATTATTATTTGACTTTAACTATATATTTATTTGTTGTTCCTTTATTTTATTTTATCTTCTCTATATCTGTAAAGCGTCTTTGAGCACCTGTAAAAGCGCTAACAAATTAAATATATTATTATTATGATCATATTGTAATTATAAACCTAAGCAGCTGAAGGGAAATAGTTATCTGTTGCTAGCCTATTTGAAAAACACCCTGAAGACATTTTATACAACTATTACTAGGCCTGTCACGATAATTAATTTTGTTGGACAATACATTTTCCCGGAAATTATTGCGATAAACGATAATATTGTCGGCACTCTTGTAAGACCATTTTGACCACTGACATCATGATAATAATAATTCAAGTACATCCTTTCAAACAGAACTTTTGATTGAACATTCAACATTGCAAATTTAATGTGAAATAGTATTCAAATATATATATATAATAAATAAAACAAATACATTTAATTATAACAAATGGTATTTTTAGGTATTAGGTTTTGCAACCACTTCCATTTAATAATAATACATTACATTTATAAAGCGCTTTTCCTGGTGCTCAAAGCGCACAACTTAATTTAACTTCAAATTCCCCTCGAGTAAGTGTTGTCTCCTGCTTGTCTCTATATTATTAATTTGGCTGCTACACTGTTGCACACCGAGTGTCCTGACCTGGCTGTGTGTGAGCCCCGCCCCTCACAGTGCGCTGGGCTAAAATGCTGGTCATATCTTATCCTTATAAATGGCAATTTATCGAGCTCAGAAAAGTTATCGAGTCCATTTTTATTTATCGTACGATAAGTCAATTTATTGATTATCGCGACAGGCCTAACTCTTACCTCTGTTTTGAAAAGTATTTCCCAAATCTCAAATCCCTGCTCCAACCACAAGGATTAATTGCAATAAAAAGTATGCCTAGTTGACACTCCTATTTCAAAATACGTAAAAAATGGTAGTTAGAAATTACACACCATTCCTTGTTTTTACAGGCAATGATTGTTAATATTGTTACTTTACCATCATTTGTAATTTTTCCTACATTTGTGTTTTTATATTTCTTTCAAGAAATAATTGAAGTTTCAGGAGAATTTGGGAAAACCTCTAAATACAGTCCTGATGGCTTTTACTCCTGTGCTTTTCAAAGACAGAAAAGAATAACTGATTCTCCGCACATTTCCCCCCAATTAATGAACATTTGGTAGCTTAAACTACCTTATGGAAGTAGCCATCCTCCGAACTGACATTTATTTCTGAAGTTGTTGAAATCTATATTTGTAAAATGTGTAATTAATATCCTTATTTGTGTGCTGCAGCCCCCGTCTACCAACACGGTAGAGGAGCCTCTGGATCTGATCAGACTCAGTCTAGATGAGAGGATCTACGTGAAGATGAGGAATGACCGGGAGCTCCGCGGTCGACTGCATGTAAGATACACATCCAGTATCTGCTTAAAAAAACACTGAAGTGTGTGTGTTGTGGGATTCTATGTTTTATTGTCGCAGGTCTGATATTTGTCTCTCACTTCATGCTTGTTGATGTTTGTTTTTCCCAGGCCTACGATCAGCACCTGAACATGATCCTTGGAGATGTGGAGGAGACGGTGACGACGGTGGAGATCGACGAGGAGACCTATGAAGAACTATACAAGGTACAGCTTTGAATTCTCCTTGTTACAGCCTCATGTCTTCTTACTGAACAACTACTGTTGTGCTGGTCTTGGTTTCTAAAACTGTCTGCATGTACTGGGCCTTACAGAAGCACTAGAACAATGCTGCTGTTATACTTTATTTCAGCAGGAACATTCAACATCAATAGAAGCATTTCAAATGCTTATTCATATTTGGCATACAATATTAATAATGTTTTATCACACTTTATTGACATTTTAAGATAGAATCTAATATTCTAGATTTTCCCTCCTCGAGATCGTGAAGAATAGTATTTGCACTTTCAGTGGTTTTATATAAAATGATGTTCATAGTTAAACTTTTTCTGTTAAGAGTGATCTGCAATCTGTATCTGTGGTCAACATACAGTTCCATAATACTGCAGGAAGATTGATTTAAAGTTATTTAAATACTTTTCCTTTTATTCATGTTTTTATTTCTTTTCGTAATGTGTAAACATGGGAATATAAAGATCCCAGTGTCTTTGGTCTCGGGCTTTAAACCAAAGTCTTGATCACAGTCTGTGGAATACATGTGGAAACTATGGCTGCCCCCAATCAGTCAACTTAACGTTAGTCCATGAAAAAAAGTATTTGGCGACTCATTTTTCATTAGTCTATTAATCAAAGGAAAGGAAACTCCATGTGTGCGCTGCGTGTGCTTTGATGCCTCAGCCTGAAAACCCCTCAGACTTCATTCAGAGCTGAACCTGGTCGTTGAGTACATTTTGTCGAGCAGGAACTCCAAAGTATGGGATCTTGTATGTTGGTATGTAAACATAAGAAGTTAAAGTAAAATGTCCAATAAAAGAGAAAAAGAATAATACAAATATTTATACAAAGTTACATTTGTTGAAGTAAAATTGTACACAGTGTAAGACAATATATATCATGCAAATGTAAATGTATACCGTGGTGTGTAAGTATTAATTCTGAATATCACAGTTTAAAAGGGTTTGAGTGCCGGACGCTTTGAGGACATAATACTAATAATTAACAGAACAATATAAAGATAAACAATTTTTCTGTGTCTTTTTTTTTAGTCAACCAAGAGGAACATCCCCATGCTGTTTGTCAGAGGAGACGGTGTTGTCCTTGTGGCACCGCCCCTCAGGGTGGGCTAACCCCACTTCCTGTTTGTGAGGGAGTGTTTGTGGCAGCTGGGAAGCTTCTAACTGCAGGAGGCTGAAACATGGCTGCGTTCAAACACATCCAGCCCCCTCAGGTCAGACTCTACTGTCAAACCCCCCCCCCCCCCACACTCATCATTCAGATACTACCACAAACTCTCTACTTTATTCTGTGGGGCTGCAAGAATTAAAAGCACTTTTTGACAAAGAAAGAAAGATGACTTTTGGTTTTGGAGAAAGAGGGCTTACTTCTGAGGTTTTATTTGGGCAAATTATTATTAAATTGATTTTGTGTCATTTCAGGCAATCGTTTCCTGATATCCTCAGGATATTTTTATTTGATTTTGCTCTGTACACCAAATGTTAAATACACACCCATTTAGTGAAGCCAGAAAAAAATATCATAATTTCTAAGAACAAAATCTCAACTCTAGTTTGTGGAGGATCGCAATTATTAAAAACATGTTTTGAAAAAATAGTTTTTTTGTTTTGTTTGGGCAAATTATTATGGGATTATAGAATATTTCAGGCCACAATTGTTGTTCTTATTCTCAGGATATTTCATTTGATTTTAAATTCATAAATCCACACAGTTTTAGTTAAGCCAGAAAAACAAATGTTACTTTAATCACCTTGAGTTGTTCACCTTTACAAGTCTCTACAAGTGCCATATTAAGTTGCAAACATCTTATCATGGTTTTTGGAAACTAAACTGCCTCACGTGTGTGTGTGTTAACTTGTGTTTGTCGAGTGTATTTCAAGTATTACCAGACAGCAGACTGAGCAGAGGGGTTTTATGTAATTGTTGACCTTTCTCAAGTGAAACTTTTTGTTCTAAGCAGAAGACTTGTGCAGTTACCCCGAATCCATCATCTGTGAATATTTGGAAGCTTGAGTTCCTCTTGGACGGTTTTATTTTATGTTTTTTTATATATATTTTTGTAGTGTTTGTTGGACTTGAGAGTACATCATTTTCAGATATGTAAACATTTGTTTTCATTTGGTTTTGGTAACTTGAATAAAAAAGGTAATTTGCAAAAAATAAATCTCTTTCAAGTTTTGTATGAAATGTATTACCAGTTCGGAAAATGTAACCAGAGCAGCGTTGAGACATGCCCGGTGGAATCTATCGTTTTTCCAACACAATTTAGATTTAACCCATGGATGTATAAAGAGAGCATACAATTCTATAATAATAAATACCACGCCCACTTCTGCATTAGCGTAGCTCTGCACGACTGCGTCATGGATGTAGAAAGAGAACGTAAAATAATATTTAAACATTTTATATAAATAACAAAAATATCTCTCTTTTCTTGATCGCCCTCTCACGGAGAACACTTCACTGTCCCGCTTCATTGAGGATTATGCCATGTCTCTACCACTTTAGTTTGACCATCTCTGTTATTAAGTTATGGAATACTAAATAAATAAGTCATTAGATTCCTTACCTTTTCTGCGCTCATAAAGAATGATAAGAATAATGCGTATTGAACTGGTTTCATTAATTAGTGAGTTTATTTAAGGTAATTAGTTAGAAGCCCTATTTTATCAGAATGTCTGCACAGCAGTTACAATGGTCAAACTACATTAAAACAGGATTGTCCCCACTTTTTCTTTAATAGTTACTTATGGCGCGTCTTCCACTGCAGGCCTCGCTCGGTTTGGTTAGGCCTTATTAGGCCCGGCTCACTTTAATGCTGCGCTTCCATTACAGTTTAGGAACTGGGGTAGTTACTATAGTAACGCAGTGTAGGCGGAGCCGTGACGTTATCTTCAATGAGAGCCCCAGAAAAACAACACAGCCGTTAGCTCTTAGCACTCAGAGCTCACAGCTCTTCATATCTGTTCAGAAACTTGACAAAAGTTAAACAAGTACAAACCACAGACTGCCTGTGTCATGGCGAATACAGTCGCTGGTTTATTTATGTCTGTATAGGCCGTTGTTGTGAGTGTGGACGGTCGGAGCATATATAACGTTAGCTTAGCCAAGCTACATTTAGAAAACACGCATTTTAAAAGGTGTTTCGCCTGTCGTCTGTCTGCAGACTTGTCAAAGCATTAATTCATGGTTTTTACTAACCGGTATCAGTATGTTGTTACTTCGGCATCATTTTGAAACGTGTATTACAATTAAATCACGGTCAAATATGTTCATCTTGTTGTAGTTGTAGCCCCCTTGCCAGCGATTCTCTCTCTAGTTTAGCATACTCAGCCCGACTCAGCCTGGTTGTTCCTGGCCCTAGAACCACGATTTTATGTGGCCAGAAAAACTGTGAATTAGGACCCGCTAGCCGGTACTAGGCCAAGTGGAAACGCAACCAAAAACGGGCCCCGTACGGCTCGGCACGCTTAAAGCGAGCTACCCGCTGCAGTGGAAACGCGCCATAACATTAGATATTTTAATGAGATATGGACCGCAAAACTAAACATGTGCCTGAATGACGAATTTAGCAGTTGGACATAAAAGTCAGCTGAGTGTCACTTGCAATGGCAGTGTTGTGTTTTTATTTTATCAACCTTTTACTTTAAAAACAAGTTAGAATTTTGAAAGGGTCTTGTGTTTTTTTTCGAGGGGGGGCGGGCGTGCCCTTTTTCCAGTTTAGAGCAATAGCCCCTCCAAATGTCTGCACGTCCCTGCTCCCATGTTTTGTTTTAGCAACTAGTTTTCTCATTAAGAACGGCGTGATCGCTGTGGATAACATTAGTGTTGGCAAGGACAAGGTGCACAAAAAACTAGTTGCTAAAACAAAACACGGGAGTGTACCTTGTTAGCTAATGCTAGCTAGCTGATATTAACGTTACACATTATTCTAGTTTAACACTCATCGAAACCTTGTACAGCCTCGCTTGCTGGCTTTTTGACCGACTTTTGTGTAATAGCAGCTCTCAACATGCCCAGTGTAATGATTTTCACCTGGTTTAATACTTTTTGCCTGAAATGTGCTAAGGTGATGTGTATTGTGCGAGACCAGAGATGTAGTTCATTGAGCGGTTTCACACACAAATAACTATTACTTCATAGTTTTACGACAAACTGTGACTTTTTGGACGTGTAAATAATTGTTTAAGATTGACAAACATCATATGTGTAATTCATGGCACAATTCAAACGGGATCTAAAGATAACTTTTCTCTCCCCATTGACTTCAATACATAATCTTTCCGAAATAAGGTCCCATGGAGTTCCACCGGAAAGGGAGGGACTTTGGCTCTCTATAACCCTCCCGGTCAAAAAATAAAACAATATATTTAACCCTCCGGTATCACTGTGGACGTTTTTGTCCATATTGGTCATTTTTCACTATTAATTTTGCAATAACTTTGGTTCTGTTGGTGCAAATGGCCTGATTTTTTTTGTAACAAGGCTATTTTCTCGATCTATTTTGGAATTTCAATTTTTCAAATCGGTCTTTAATTCACTGTGTAACAAATTGACTACGCAAATTAGTCATTCGAGACAAAAATGTCCACTGCAAAAGACTTTGATAAAAACATTATATTAAAAGGTTTCTTTCACAACTTTTTTGGGTTCAATCTGTAAAGCAACTTCCGCCCTAATAGAAAATACCAAAAATGTAATCATTTTCAGGATTTTAACCCTTTAAATGCCATTTTGAATACATGAAACCGCTGTTTTTTGTTTTTTTTAAACTGGCAGTTCAAGGGTTAAAATCCTGAACATAATTTAATATTTGGTATTTTTGATCAGGACTGAAGTTGATTGAAAGATTTAACCCCAAAACGTTTTTTAAAATATTAATCCGTTGTCATTTTAGAGCAGTTTTTGGAAGTGGACATTTTTGTCCCGAATGACTAATGCGTGACTTTTTTGTTCAATCTGATTTTGTGCAAAACGTAATAATGCAAAAAAAAATCAATTTTGATGCTAATCTTTGACATATCCAAGACTGTTCCCAGATATGTATTTTTTGGAAAATAACTAATTTTCTCTGTTTTCATCATGAAAAAAAACAGCGGTTTCATGTTTTCAAAATGTTATTTAAAGGGTTAAAATCCTGAAAATGATTACATTTTTGGTATTTTCTATTAGGGCGGAAGTTGCTTTAAAGATTGAACCCAAAAAAGTTGTGAAAAAAACCTTTTAATATAATGTTTTTATCAAAGTCTTTTGCAGTGGACATTTTTGTCTCGAATGTCTAATTTGCGTAGTCCAATCGAATGATACCGGAGGGTTAAGCAATAGCTCACGACAGGCCGTGGTATATGCTCAGTATATCACAGCTAAGGGGCGCGGTTCGGCCCGATGCGAAGCGCAGGCAGTTTGCTTTTCAGCCCAACTGTATACAGTTTTTCTCAGACGCGGAGGGATACTGACTTGTTGTGAAAAGTAACTACAATTCTACCCGTGGTATACGCTGATTATATCACGGCTAAGAACCAATCAGATTGCTTGATTTGACGTGTCCGTTTTATAAATATATATATAATATAATTATGATAAAAAAAATATAATAATTATATGATATATACATCTTATAATTATGATACATGTTTTTAAAATAAACGTTGCTGGCGTTTCTTTTATGCAACAGTCCATGCTAATATACAAAACTCTACAATCAAATGAACAAGTGTACCTTTTTCTAAACTAAGTAGGAGGAAATAAGTATTTGATCCCCTGAAGATTTTGTAAGTTTGCCCACTTACAAATAAATAACAGTCTATAATGTGAGAGGATCTTCGGAGAAGAGTGGACCACAATCCTTCCTGAGATGTGCACAAACCTGGAGACCAACTACAAGAAGCATCTGACCTAGGGATGGGTATCGTTAGGATTTTATCGATACCGGTACTGCTTATCGGTATCGGTATTTTTCGATACTCTTATCGATACTTTTCAATAATTTGGTGCTCAAAATTATAGACATGAATACAAGATGTGAAGATTAAATAGTCATTTTATTGTAATTTTCTTGCAGAAATAACTGTATAACTTATACATTAGCTTCTCAGAAGCAGACAAAATAAATAAAATAACTTAAAGGGGCCTGGGAGTTTTCCCTCAGACAGAGGATGAAAAGAGGCATTTAAAAAAAAAAAAAATCTAACATTTGTAAATCAGTTACATCTTCATCCAGACATTTCAAACTGACAACCTAGCTCGACAAGAGATCCTTAAAACATTGTCCCACAGTGACATCATGCAAAACTGTGATATGAATACATTGGTAAAAAGGCTAAGATGGCAAACAAATAAAGGCGAGTACGTATATTATTCTGGATTGCACTTTTAAATCATCACAAAATAAATGATGTGCTGAACTGAAACTCGTCAAAATGTGTCTGAAGGTTTAAACATAGAACAAAGTTTGAGCTTAAAATATGTAAATTCCTAGTAAACGACCAACAATTGCTGAACCATACATTGAAACGTTGACCTTTAACAACATTTAAATGCAGTTTTCCAATTCACAATGACATCTGTAAGTTTAACTGTAAGGTTTATAAAGCATTCAATGAAAGGCCAAATTATTGTAGGTGTAGGAGCTCACATTAATACACTGTCAGTGTTACTAAACTAAAAAAAGACAAGGCGATGTGCCTGCAAGACTTTACTCAGGTAAACATATTAACCGTGCGCAGCAGCTAACCTGCATGCGAGCCTTCGCTCAGGTCACATTTACACACGGCGCGGCTGAAGCCCGCTAGCACTATTAGCACTAGCAGTATCGCTAGCAGCCACATGTCAAATACGCTGCACCGTTTTAGATTCACTGAGTGTCTCGTTGGTAAACTTACAAAATCTGCAGAGGATCAAACTTATTTTCTCCACTGTATATAGAAATATTAGGGGTGTAACGGTACACGTACCGAAATTATTCGGTACGGGCCCTTCGGTTCGGTACACGTGTGTACCGAAGTGTACCGAACGAATATAACGTTAAACGTAAAAAATTGAGAACGTGAACAACTTTTTGGAAGTAATCTCAGGTGCGGCGTCGTAGCATTCAGAGTAATTTGCTCACATTGGGTTCAACGCGTCATAGAGCGACCAAGTCATTTCATTGGACGAGAGGC